GGTGCATATATGATTTCACAAAACTGTGTTCATCATATAGGATAACCAGAATCAAAGTGCAACCGGGTGTATGCTGTTTACAAGTTTTATTACTCTTTAGAGGAGTTTTCATTGGGGTCAGTTAATCTTTTGAGATCTCTGTAGACCTCCATGCCATTCCCCAGTCCTGAAGCTCAGGTGGCTAATAGCGAGACAGTGTTACCCAAGGTTGGATGGTCATTCACCAGCAAGAGTGGCCTTGAGTTGTCTCTATCAGCTGTGCGTTAATACCTTGTTTACCAGCATGCTTTGCATTGCATGTCTCCCACCCTGCCTCCTCCAGCACTGATATTCATACATTCATTCAACCTCAAACTCTGATGAAGAGGCAGAAAGTACACCTATCTCAAGCTCTGTTGAATCGGTGATTATACTCACCTAAAACTGTGAGGACAGCCAGTAAGTACACCCATAGTGATAGAAGTGGTTCCAAAGTACTGATTGCTGTGCATTTACTATAAAAAAAATAAAATCAGTATTACAGCAACCATAATGGCAGCTGCTGATAAGAGAAAGTATTGACAGTATTTACAAGAATATCATTTTTATTATCATCTGTTATTATTCCTAGCATTGTTATTTCAAATATCAAAATATTTTTATATAATATATGTTTGAGGGTTGATGAACAATCTTACATTTTAGAAAGAGTTTGATGAACTTGGGGACTCCAGCTTTAGAACCTTTTTTTTTTAGAACAGTTTGATGGCAGTCTGAACTTTGTAGTACATGTTATATTACAGCTTCCATGAAACACTTGCCTGTTGCTCTTACCTGAATGTATAAGGGATGGATAAAATAAGTGAAACCATACAAACAAAGCCTGACCATAAGAAGTATTGTCTGGCTGTTCTGGCACCCCAGTGACTGTGTCTGTCTGTCTAAGGCAAGTAGGCATAGGGGTAAGCAGCTATTCAGCAAATGCCATGCTGAACCTACCTGAAGCTCTGCCCTGTTATCCTTTAATCTTGACAATAGTCAATTATAGTCTGGAGGGCTTGTGCTTTGAGTTCTTAATGATCCAAAGTCCAAGCAACCCTTGGGTTTAAGTTCCTTAACTTAAAGTTATTAAGGATGAAGTGCCCCAGAAGACCAGAAAGCCTTGTCTCTAAGCCCTTATAGTTTTTTGGGAGGGTGAGAGTCCAGAAAAAAAAATAGAAGCTTACACACTAGTCTACATTCTAGTTTCTTTACCACAGTCACTCACACACACAATAAGACCAGTTTGGTAAGAGTCCAATAAACCTTCCAGTATGTTTTCGTGGTTTTGAAGCAAACTGGAGGAAATGGAGAAAGGTCACAGGAACATAGAGACAACATACAATTCCATATGCAACTGTCCTACGGCTCTGTACTCAGAACTAGCTAATATCCTATGAATTATGTCCTTTAAAAAAAAATTATGTCCAATTTGGACAATCTGTCTAGTAAAAATGAAAGAAACCTGTGGGATAATTCATCTTTGTGAATATACATAAAAACACCACCACTTGGTCAGAAATTGATAAATACAGGTGAAGCTCGAATAATTAGAATATCGTGCAAAGTTCATTTATTTCACTAATGCAACTTAAAAGGTGAAACTAATATATGAGATAGACTCATTACATGCAAAGCAAGATAATTCAAGCCGTGATTTGTCATAATTGTGATGATTATGGCTTACAGCTCATGAAAACCCCAAGAACCCCAAATCCACAACCTCAAAAAAGTAGATTATTACATGCAATCAATAAAACAAGGATTGTACATAGAACAATATCGGACCTCTGAAAAGTACAAGCATGCATATGTACTCAGTACTTGGTTTGGGCCCCTTTTGCAGCACTTACTGCAATTACTTTTGCACGATATTCTAATTATTCGGGTTTCACCTGTAATCTGTTATTTAGAAAAGGTAGAGATCACGAAAAACTTCAACGAAAATTTCTGTTATATCAAAATATTTTGTACTTTATATCACTGTTATTTGATCCATCAAAATATATCCAGATGCATAAAACATATTTTATTACAGCACACACTTTTGCAACATGCAAAAGACCATTAAAGCGACTAACTGCCATCCACCACAGTATAATGTGTTGAATGTTGAAGATTTTTTGGTTGGTGTAGCCCTGCAAGAGAGCAAAGATTGGGGTCACTGGCAGTGGGACTGGTAAATATATTAACTCTTCTTATATTTTTTTTGGGGGGGGGGGGGGGGCGGGCGATTTTTTTGTGGGGGC